TAGTAGGTGAAATGATAATAGCATTTTAAAATTATATTTCGTAAAATAAATATTATGTTGGTAAAATATTTTTGATGCTTTAATAACGTATATCAAGTGAAAGTAATAAACAATTATGAAGAATACTCTAATTGGTATAGGTATTCCCATCATTCGTTCAATGAACAGTAGTATAAACCCTTCCATTAATACACATAACTCGACACACACCTCCAATGGTAGAAACATGGTTGTGTTAAGTATACTGTTAAGTAAAGTAAGCGGGTTGGCCAATAAGAAAAAAATAAACCACATTGACATTAACAGTTGCAGTAGTAATGAAGTTACATTTTTGTAAATAAGTTCAGTTAGCACATTGATAATTGCACTAAAATCAAACAAAATTATTAACAAACCTTTACAAATAATACAGGTAGAATGCCAAAGGAATAAAATAAAAATTATATATCTTAAAAATAGAGATAATGAGGTTACATTTTTGTAAATATGTTTATGTAATACATCTGTAATTTCACTAAAGTTAAAGAAATTTATTAACAAATCTATACAAAAAATAATACAAGTAGTATACCAAAGGAATAAAAGAAAAATTATATAACTATAAAATAAAGGTAGTGAGGTAACATTTTTATGAATAAGTTCATTTAGCAAGCTTTTAATTACACTTAAATAAGACAAAATTATTAGCAAACCAATACAAATAATACAGGTAAAATGATCAAGGAATAACAGAAAAATCATATAACTAAAAAATAAAAGTGATGAGGTTATGTTTTTATAAAACTGCTTATTGATAATAACACCAAAATTAAACAAATTTATTAACAAACCTACGCAAATAATACAGGTGGCGTGTAAAAGAAATAAAAGTAAAATTATATAACTTATAAATAGATGTAAAACTTTAAAATATATATAAAATAATGTAAAAATTTTTTTTAATTGGTTATTTCGAGTTATTTTCTGACGAAACACCAAAAATGCGTTCAATGTCAGCAATAGATCGCAATTGGTATATTTTTGAATTATCACTTTGTCTAGCAAATATACGCCCCTCTTTAGTCCAAATGTATTTCCAATTAAGACCTCTTCCAATATCACGTGCTTTTCCAAATAATTGTCGATTTGTACTAGTAAGTCTCTCATTGAGATAAAAAGGTCTAGGTTCATGTGATGGGAGGCCAAGATCTGCTGTTGTAGCCCCACGGCGAACGCGAGCATTTCGTAACATTTCGTCTCGAATAACTCGACGAGAGAGGCGTACCACAATATGACGATGACGTGAAGGACGTCCCAGGGCTTGAGTTTTTAAATCCGAAAGGCGCTGACTATTTCCCACTCTACTGGCGCTAACTATGTCACTCTCTTCGAGCTGAGTGCCCAACTTCGCTGCTACCGCAACCACGATGTGTTGAACTGATTCGTTGACATTTTCCGGGATACCAGAAATCTCTAAGTCATTTAATAAAGCCTGTTGATCACGCTCATTAAGATTAACTTGTAACTGAGTTATGGTATTACGCAAATCCTGATATGTGGAAGGAAAATTTTGGTTTTTTAAATAACACAACTCAGCCTGTAGTTTTTCATTTTCATTCTCTAAAAGAGATATTTTGTTACTGAATGCCGACATGTCACTCTTTACCTCTACTAGTTGAGCAGATAAAAAATCTGTAGTCTCCGTAAATTCTTTTTTGAGTTTATCCACTGCTATATCAAACTCTTGCTTAATCTCTTTAGTAATTGAGCTACGCATATGATTTAATTTCGTATCGAGAAGGGAAGAAAGTTGCTCAAGGGAGATATTAATACATTTATCTGACTGGCATTGTAACTTACTACTGCTGATGATCGTATTAGGTTGCTCACTAGATGGCGACTCATTAAAATCCCCCTGACCCTGAATAATATCCTCGTATGACATGTCAGTCTGGTTAAGCATTGATTCGAATTGTTTTCTAACAGGTGTGTCGTCTTTAATACGACGTGATGTTACATTCACACACGAAGGACAGCACCATGTACGCTTAATATCATGATTTTTATTCATAAACTGAGCCGTAGTAATATTTAAGCATTTATAATGATACGTCCCCTTACAGCGTATACAAACCAATAATTCTTCGCGACGAATCACCTGAGAACATGCTAAGCATTTCATGGTTTTGTATTATTTGTATAAATAATTTATGTAGATAGCAAGCAAATAAATCCAAAAAGCAGGTACTCGGTAAATAAACCGACAAGCCAAATACACCCTTGCTTAGCGACAGGTCTTTGATTAGATGCTTGAGAGAGCAAGATGGGCTATGCGCAAATACAGGTCAACGACCGATACAAGCAAAGGATAGGTGACGTAACTCTCAGCTGACATTCACGGTATAAACAAATGCACATAATTAATGCACTTTATAGTACACTAATACACTTTGCACAAAGTATTAAACAAATTAATTCACTGTATCTTACTAAAGCATAAACATTAAATAACAAAATATATTGACTTCAGAAACGTCTCAATAACTTTTCAAGAGTACTAGGAACAAAATAAAGTAACAGCTAACTGATAACCGTGTTTCCACTTCAACGGATCGCGCGTGACCTACTGGAAGAAATTTCATTGTGAGATAAGTAGAGCCTTTGTACAAACTTTTTATTATGATGTGTCCTCTCCCTAACTTGTGTGTACATAAATTGTGAAATAAATAAATAAATAACGTTATGGAAAATTGAGCGTATAGTGCACAATGTTTTAGTACCGTATTGCTCGTCTAGTAGTATACATAGAAGTGTTTAAAATGTTGATATTGGTGTTGGTCTAATGTCTAGGCCACCACACACATTGCGATAGAATTCAGGCGATAAATATGTCATCGAATAATAATTTTAAGGTGGCCCAAGTCGATGGCACGAACTAAGTGGTGGGTGGGGTTAAAATGCATGCTGTCTTAGCCGACATCACGTGCGAAAGCGAAAGGCATGATGATTTACAACAAAACGAGCGCGCGAAATTTTATAAACAGACCTTTGGGAATCTGGATATCATGAAAAATCCATTGAATTTATGTGAACAAAATAAAATTATTTGCACATTTGAACACATAATTTATCCCTTATTGTAACTATTTTGCAATTTTCGTTCTTCTTATGGTATTTATTCCCGCACAAATATGTGTTAAAATTAGTACTTTTAAATATATTCTTTTTTACTTTTTTGTTTCCATACAGGGCTAGATAATGATGAGACATAATATTTTGAACGCATACCATCAAACAGTGGAGTAATCGCCAGACTACGTTTATATGGAAGAATGAGTGGCTACTGTACCCTTAATACGTCTTTGGTAACAGGGGACAGCTTTAGACGCACAAAAGATCAAAGGGTTGCGGCAGAGTTATGACCGCCGCGTCTACACATTGCGTTGGTGCGCGTTTAGTTTGCTACCAGCTTCTAGAGTGATCGCACGTACCAAATTTAAATTTAATATTCATGCATCGTAACTAGTGTTTACAAAATGGTAGTAACAGTTACAAGTGAAGAAACTGTTTCTTTTATAGAGCTTTACCAAGCTGAAAATTGTTTGTACCTAACTTAGTTTAGTAATAATGATTTCGCGTGTCTCCTAGTATGCTATTTTCAAAATGTACGAGGTTACCTACAAAATTGTTTAATTAGTAATAAATTGATTAATAACCTAACAATAGACTTATTTCAGATCAATGATTCTTGGAAACTGTATGTTAGGTGTACTCCGTTCGCTTAGTGAAAAAAGACAGCTTAATGACATACTTTCGGAATAATTAAAAAAAATACGTGTGTCACTCGGTGACTGCCGCGGTAAAGCTATTGCATAGCATTTTTTATCAACTTATGCAATTATAATTATTTATTTATTTTATTTATGCAGTTAAGTCTTTGATATTAAATCAAGTTACACTTTTTGAGCGTGGTGACCGATAAGAAAACAATTTTTTTCTTTTATTGAATAAATGAGAAGTTAATATTGTTTAAAATATTTTTAATATCTTACAATACATGTAGGTTATTCAGGAATTTTTATCATTGAGTTAGCAGCTAGTGTACACGCATACGTCTAGTCGCACGCACACAAACACCGTGCCGAACTCTGCCGAGTGCCGAAGTCTGCCGAACTGAAACGACGTTAGACGATGCACGGCTTTCAACGCCACACCTCCGTGCCCGTCGGAGTGGGAAGCGTGAAGTTTTTTTTCGTTACGGAATTTCTGGATTCGGTCCCCGCGCTCAAGGCCCGCGATAGAAGCTATGCAATAGCTTAAAAAATATATTATCAGCGCTGTTTCAATGTATTAAAAGCATCCTTCTTTGCCATTACTTTTTTATCAACCTTTATTATTATAAACATTCATGTAGTAGCGGTACGCTTTGAATAAAAAACCGCAGCAGGTGTTAGCGCCTTAATATCAATTTTTATAAATTCGTCCGCACATTGGCCTGACCCGAAGCAAACTGAATGACTCTTCAACGTATGGACGCCATCACAAGTTCTTCGCTAATATCTTTGCCACAAAGTTGCGACAGTAGGGCACAGGGTAGGTACCTCGAAGGGCGATACGTCATGGTGCAGCAGCGTGTCGCGCAGCTGCGAGACAGCTGCGCGGCGGTGCGGCAGCGCGGCTGCCAGCGCCTCCAGCGCGCCTGCTAGGTGAAGAGCTGGCATGAGAGGGTGAGTACCTCGAAGGGCGAGACGTCGTGGTGCAGCAGCGTGTCGCGCAGCTGCGAGAGAGCTGCGCGGCGGTGCGGCAGCGCGGCTGCCAGCGCCGCCAGCGCCTCCAGCGCGCCTGCTAGGTGAAGAGCTGGCATGAGAGGGTGAGTACCTCGAAGGGGGAGACGTCGTGGTGCTGCTGCGTGTCGCGCTGCTGCGTGAGAGCTGCGCGGTGGTGCGGCAGCGCGGCTGCCAGCACCGCCAGCGCCTCCAGCGCGCCTGTTAGGTGAAAGGCTGGCATGAGAGGGTGAGTACCTCGAAGGGCGAGACGTCGTGGTGCAGCAGCGTGTCGCGAAGCTGCGAGAGCGCGGCGCGGCGGTGCGGCGCGTGCGGCAGCGCGGCCGCCAGCGCCGCCAGCGCTTCAAGCGCGCCCGCGCCACCGCCGCGCGCGCCCCACTCGCGCTGCAGCCGCCCCGCCTTCCATTGGATCCACTCGCGCCCCTTCTCCCTGACACACACCACCACACACACACATATGTTACTAATTACATTCTTCTTCTCGTGTAAAGCAAGTAGTCAAAATAAATTAAAACGTAAATGGATCTCAGAGAGTTCTTCATCGATTGACGACAAGCATCTTTATACCTTTATACAGAGCCAACATCAGATCAGCGCCAAAGTACTATATGATCACATAAGTATGCAAGCAAGTCAATAAAATGTCAGTAACAAATTAATAAAAAGCTTGTAAAAATTACGCGCAACATTCATTTCAATAACATATGATCAGTATATTTCAACTTTATATACCTTTTAATATCATAATTATTAACGTCTATAAAAGTACAAAGCTTTCTCACTGAATGATAGTAAAAATAAATTTCGCAATTGATTTCCAGCATCATGTTAACTGACCACAACTCAACTTTGGTTGGCTGGAGGAAAAATTCGTCATAATAGTCACGTTTGTCAGGCAAATTGCATCAGACATTTATATAATCCACGCATTCTATCTTGGCCGGGCTGAAGTTGGCTTTCGGTGACATTCGAGAGTCGGTAGAGATGTGCCATTCTATATTCGCTCCTAAGATTGCTTAGATAACAGTTAGTTTTGTCTATATCGAAGTTAAAATAAATTGTTTTTTTAAAGCGTTATTATTATAATGAAAATTTCTTTATGTATTTCAATAAAACAATAGTATGTAATAAAGATTTACGGCAAAAAGTTTAAATATAATACAGTAAATACACAATATTAGTGAAGACAACATTTCAGTAACCCCAAAATAATTTATCTTTAAATTTTACACCAAAATCCTTAATGCACATTAACATAATCTCTGTATTTAAAATGACATGTTACATTTACACACCAATGAAACATAAAGATATTAAATAAAATCGAACCATAATGATAATAACGATAATCGATTATTTACGTAATTATTTTCCCGCAATACGTAAAATATACGTATAATATATACGTATTCGCAACTCTAGTTTTAATTACTGTCCACCCTCCTCTTCCCCTTGCGATTGCGACCATTTTGTTCCGAAAAAATATATCTGTGCAGTTACGCGCGACTCAGTTCAGTCAAGATAGGTCGCATGGACTTCACCTATTTCACAGACATTTTACATTTGTGCATTTTTTCATACGACAAATATACAGCCGAGTATTAAACGAGATGGCATAAGAGTTTGTTATGCCAGATAATAAAGTTGTATATATGTTTGATTTTATTATTACAATAAATTAAGCGGGGCATTCACTAGACGGACATGCCCATGGGTTGTTTGTCCGGGCATGTCTGTCGCCGCAATACACTACTGTGTAGTGTATTGCGGCGAGCTCTGTTATACACTCGTGTATGTTTTAGACCGGCTACGTTCTTAGTTGTGCGTGCACGTTAAGATAAAAACATAGGCTTGCAATGCTTATTATTTATATTATTAATTTAGTGCAAAGAATGTTATAAAAATAGAAATACGTTTAGCCATATAGTTTTATATAAAGAATTAGAAATTGATGAACCAGGAGACCTGCACAATTACTTGCGCTTGGATATGTTACCATCATGAAAACTCATTGCAAATTAAAAATCTCCAAAGTTCGTCAAATAATAATAAAAGGCCGTCTGAACTGGTTGCTGTCGCTCTTGGGTCTGTGATAAAACAGCTCGCTGTTAACATTCACGTTCGGGCATGTCTGTGCCCGCGCAGACAAAATAAGATCGCGCGGGCGTTCAACGGGCAAGTCTGCCAGACCGACTGCGGCGGTCCTACACTATCAAACTTTGCACACACCTATAGTGTCTACAGACATGCCCGTGGGCAAGTCCGTCTAGGGAAATGCCAGGAATTCCCCGCTTTAAGCTTAAAAGGCAGTTGACTAACTTGTTTTGAACCGTAAGGTTTGTGGAAGTGTGCGGAGAAGCTAAGAGTCCGGTTTCCTTATGCGCATGAGGCGTTCGTCCCCAGCGCGACGGATTGAGCGATGAGAGGAATGATGAAGTTTTTGACGTGCCACCGACACGAGACGTTGAGCGGGCCGCTGACGGGATTCCAGACGCTGTAGAAAGAGATAGGTTAAATGTTTAAGACTAATTATACGTGTTTTAACATGAATTATTATGTACACACGTGTGTGTACATAATAATTCTTAATTCTAATAAATCTTTGTTCCTTCTTCATTAGTCACTAAAAAAAGCACTGTAGAAAACATTGGAACACAGGCCTTTCACATAGAAGAGAGGATTTGCCGAAATTTAAAGTAATATAGAGAGCTATGAATTTCCATATAATTATTTACATTGACTATAACAATGATAACTGAATATGACAATATCAATTTAATTTAAAAAAAAAACAAGTAAATTTATTTCGTAGTTTTATTTATTTTGTCTTTGTAAGAAATGCGCAGTACGCACTGGAGTACAATATGATTGTTCTGTTCTCTCTCTCTCTCTCTCTCTTTATGGTTGACATGATGTCAAAGTAATTGTAAGCGGAGTAGTTACCATGCGGCTGGTGCGCGTGGTGCAAGTGCGCTGGCGGCGCGGGGTGTGCGGGGTGCGCGGGTTGCGCGTGCGTGTGTGCGTGCGCGTGCGCAGGCGCCACGTCGTCGCGGCGCCGCGGCACTCGCGCCGGCGCACCGCCCGAGCGCTTCACGGCGCGCTTGCGCTTTAACATCTCCGCCAGTTGCAGCGGACTGCCCGATCTGACAAACAACGAAAATGCTTAAGCAGAGAAATGGACTGAACTAAATACAACCTATTCTTCGCAAAACGCTTTCTCCTTAAATCAACGATAGAGTTTAGAAACAAGGAATAACAGGAAATCCTACAAACATTCACTATTATCCAAATATATTTTTAAACGAAATTTATTTTTCACTATTATTTCTTGCTTATTATTATCCATGACAGTATCTTCTGTTACTGTCATACAATAGTGCAAGCACTGTTCCATTCCAATTCAAACGGTATGAAAGGTCAGTACAATTAACAAGCTATGAAGCATTCCATCTCCCTTAGAAATGACAAACCCGTAGCTTCCATAATTTGAACACAAAATTTATAACATACCTTAACTAACTATTTACTACCAAGTATGGTGTACGGGACAGGTAATTTTCTAGTGATGTAGCATCACATACTTGGTAGTTTATATCGATAATTTTTTTATAACGCAACAGTCAAATGAAAAAATATTTTATATTATAATTTATTCATCACAGTCAATATTAAATGAACTCATACTATCAGTGCTACAAGCACTAAGGGACTCTTCGCCACTTGTTTCTCCGACTTCTATGATAAAATCTTCCATTACATTTTCCATACATCCATCCATTTTCCAGTAAGCATTCTCCAGTTTCTGAACATGTTTTTCGAAATTTGCCCTGCCGAGTGAAGTGTCGAAATTGCATTCGTTGTTACCTCTTTCAGTTTTGTCAATCACAAATCGCTCTTTATGTTCTGTTCCCTTACGAAGCGTTTAATGGCGGCCCGGGCTAATTCAATAAGTTTTAAATTGCACATATATTGAGGTAGTCTTATAATGTCATGGCTTATGTCCTTTCATTATATTGTCAATTGCACAATTGATATCAACGGGTCCATATTGATCACAAGAAATGTTATAGTCTTCCAACAATTTTTTTGTTGCAGATTTTAGCGAACTTTTTGTTGGGGGCTTATTTAGCTGGACACTATGGTGGTTTTTATCAACAGCCGTTGTAACATACGAACACCCCAAGAGAAAGCTATTTTTTCGCGTAACGCAACAAGTAGCTTGGGACATGTCGGAACGATTTTCTTTTGTAAATAAAATTCTATCGTAGTGTTATGAATCATTGTATGATCAAAATTGTTTACACAAAATATTTCGTCTTCTTCTTCTTGTTTTTTGGGAAGAAGAAGATGGGAGAAGTGGGAGAATTTTAATTGTTTATCAGGTCCCCATAATTTTGATTCGGATATTATTCTGGAGAAATTTCTTTTAGATATGCCGGCGTAAAACACAGCCCTATCCAATGTCTGATTGACAGGGTATTTTCTAACACTTTTCTGGATAGTTCTCGTGCTTGAAAATTAATTATTGTTTTTTTTGTGGCATGTGATGAGGCAGCGAAAGAAGTCATTTTAATATACAGTAATAAAAACAATGTGAGCCAGATCGGAATTTCTTCGCTAATATTAATTAATAAACGTGGTCGGTGCGATCTCGTGTAGCGCTAAGACAAAGAAAGATTGCCATGTCGACCTGTCGCGTACTATAGGCGGATTATTAACACATTTACCACTTCAATAATAATTAGAAATCAACGTGTAGTTGAAACATTAAATCGTTACTTAGATAAAACCGTTTAAAATGTTTTTCATTTTTATGTTTTGGATAAGCACGAAATGGATATACACGAAAATCACGTGTATCTATTTCATTGATATCAAAAAAAAATATAATTGGTAAAAAAATAAATTACCCACCTGTGCACTGTGCTGGGGGCATGTGGATATGTCGAAGCAGAAGTGGCTGGCCCAGGCTCAGAGCTTTCAGTAGCCGTAGCTGCAACGAATTTTTTCTATTTTTAGAACTTTAATCATATCCATATTTTATGCCATTGTAAAAGAATAAAACATAACCCGCAACATTCTTCATGATACATAAGTGGATTGAAATCGACGATTAAGGTAATTTTAATTTTTTCGTCAAAACAATGATCTATAATTTTTCGAGACTGAATTCTTATATACATCACAAAAGATATTTGAAGAACAATGTAATTCCATGTAAAGAAATTATATATATAACATTAGCACTGGTGTGATCGCACGAAAAGGTTCGCTTCTACCTCGTTCACGTGTTACACCCTATTTTATTTCCAGATGGTAAAAAAGGTCATCCAGTATATATATATATATATATATAGATATATATATATATATATATATATATATATATATATATATACACACAGGGTTACTGGTAACTCGACGTATTCCCGCCAAGGCGTGATAGTTGGGGTCATAACCTATCAAATGAACCATAAAATGCATTATGCAAATGTGGACCAATTTCGAGATATTTAGGTTTAATTATTTTTTTTTCAAAAATCCCAAAAGACTGGTGTCAAAAATTTCTAAAAAAAACTTACAGCTGTATTATTTTCATTTTATTATTTTTACTTAATGAAAACCTGGATACTTATTTATCAATACTACAGTGTGCAAAAAAGCGTCATCATTTTCGAAGTAACGCTACTAAAAGTACAACTTTTTCCAAAGATAAGTAATTAAAAATAAAAATGATTTTGTGAAAAATAATTGTATGTGACCAATTGTGCAAATCATGTTAAAAACATCCCTACTTATCTAGCTACCCAACGAAGTATCAATTTAGCTTGTAACTTAAATAGTACAGAAAAAAATTGAAAAAAAGGGGCCAGGTAGACAAGTTCCGAGTAGCAATGTTTTGGGTAATCCCAAACAATCGCTTCTCGGAACCTTATCAACAGCTGCGGAAATGCTCGTAAAAGATTGTGCGTTTGAACTTACGCTATTGTTTACATTTAGTGTGAAATTAGAAACAAGTTAAAACAAGAAGAAACTGTTCAATCAGTCATCAGTATTTACACACGCACGCATATCCCTCCCTGTTACACTTAAAGAAGTTGAGTTTCAAAGTTTTATGCCGGCGGAACCACCAAGACGCGGAGATCATGCAAGGCAATCATTTTCCAACGAGGAATACGCAGATATCTTTTATCTCTATCACGCCTTGTATATATATATATATATATATATATATATATATATATATATATATATATATATATTTATTCATGTGTGTAGTGAAAGATATCATTTTCCACGCGGAGGAAAGCTGGTGTTCATAGTTCTTTAAATTGTTATTTCTTCTTTATTACTTATATATTTATCTATATGCCTACGCTACGTTGTCTAACATCCACAAACTGCAAAATCTATCGAAATTTAAATCATAATCACCCCCTAGCCTGTGACCTTACGATAAGGTCAAAGACGCCTACTAAATTTATTGTTTTATTGCCGTTCGTAAAGTAGGGTGGATATGATTTGCATTTAAATTAGATTTATATTATAAGATTATATCTAAATTAGTTTATTTATTTAATTCAATTTTTATTTTTTGGATATTTCAGGGCCATAGGCTTCTATTCCGTTCACATATCACACCCAATTTTTTCCAGACGGTAATAAAGGTCATCCAGTAATACTGTATGAGTATATATATTCAAGTTTTACCAGTGGTTACCGGTAAATCACTTAACAAGACTGTCTCTAGCTATGATACTATTATATACTACAGTGTGCTTGAATGCACTGGCTAATATGATGATTTGCAATAATGAATAAAATAATATTTACTGCGATTGTATTTGCAAATAGTTTGCACACTATTTACAAATAAATATGTATTAAAATTTAAACAATTTCTTTTTTTAAAGATGATTTGTAAACATTGATCAAGTCTTAAATGTGCAAATTCACTCAGTTTGTCAACACAGTTATTTCTTCTCTTTCTTTTCAGAAAGAGACGGTCTGTAAAGATTCGTTGACAATCCGTAGCATTGGAATGAAGTCTGATTTTATGTAATATTAAAATGCGTTTGTAATATTTATTTATTGAAATTTGTATGACCAACGAGCGAATTGGGTTTTTAGTAGTGATAATTGGACGTAATCGCTTGTAAAATAAGGTTGCCAACCATTCTATTGTGTATTATATTATTCTATGGCATAGAAAATATTAGCACCATAGTTTTCATGCTTGGCAGGTTAGTTGCTCATTACAAATTTTTATTATTTGGAGTTGTTATCATGAAGATGGCTTATCATTTTCCATTGTCACGTCACACTCACGCGACAAAATTAAATGAAATTTTTCTCTTACGCCACGACCACATGGCACATGTGCACAATATCATATGTTGGTTTAGTGACAAAAAGAAAATCACGAAATCTGAACCTGATAGGTTGTGCAATGGGTTTAAATATATTGGGTGCGTTTGGTAGAAAAAAGCGCTAACAAGCGCTTGTAAGCAAAAGATCGTAAGCGGTAAGCGCTGTCAAATCGTAAGTAGCTATTTTCCTCCAGGACACAAAGTTAGCTTTAACCGGGGAACCTAACCTAATTTAAACATATGTTTGTAAAGTATTCATATTAAAAACTTACCAATCATGAATTTTTAAGAACATGTATATGTTTATTCATGTCATTATATTACTTAAAACTAAAATATTGCACAAAACAACTTATAAACTCTACTTCAAAACAAACAAATTAGATAAGCAAAATGGCGGATTGTGTCAGCGCTACTGAAGTAGTAATCGTGTCCTGGCCGAAAACTATTTCAGCGCTTGTAAGCGCTTGCTAGCGCTTTTTTCTGCCAAACGCACCCAATATCATCACGACCACAGCAATATTTATCCTCACCGGAAAAGGCAAAACAAACTATGTCTGTCCAACGAGTATAATATAATTTTTTTTAGGATAAGGGTGATAAACAAGCACACAGTCTACCTGATGGTAAGTGGTCGCTGCGGCCCATAAATATCTACATCTATCCTCGGTCACGAATCAAAATGCAGATACGTTGTCACTCGTGAGGACTAAGATGGAATGGCTCGTTTCCCGTCAAAATGGTCTCTGGTCCTCTACACTCAGCATAACACAATACTTTCATATGCATTTAGTGAAAAGTTGTTATTTGACATTACAGACAAACACTACAATTTTATTAATTTATTTGTATAGAGAAAGTTTAAAATAAAATAAATTTGGAATAATACTATTAAATTAAATATAATTGTTAACATTAACAGAAAATAATACAAAAAATTTTATCCAAACAAAACTTATTAATTAGTGTACAATAAATATATCAAATAATGCTTACGTAATGAACTTGCAACAAATGAGCCAGAAGCAGAGAAAGCGAGGGACAAACTTTGATCAATTGAAGTTGCAGAAGTAGATGCGGGTGGTGAAGATCCTCCACTGGAGCGAACGCTTGTCCCGCTCGGTGACTGAAGACAAAAAAGGTTATTACAGCTTTAGATAATAGGTCAGGGGAAAAGACCCGATATTTTGAAACAGATTTGCTCCACCGATAAATATAAAACAAGTGCCCAGATACATTAATTAGAGATATTAAATTAATTAAATTCAACTAATTATTAGTGAATAGAAAGCAGTTAGTTCTTATTTTGTTTAAAATTCCGCAGGTGTCCCGCTCTGACGAAACACATAAATGGTCACGTTAGTTATACCGGACTCCTATCGGCTAAAATCCCAGGGTGTTCGGCTTTTTGCCGGGACTGCGAGAACGCTTTCGAACTTTAACGCAGCCCCGATGGCGATAGCCTCAACAGGCTCCGCTATAATTGAGTGGAGTTGGTGTTGTCCACCCCTCCCTCATATGGGAGCGTACGGAAAACTCACCGTATAAGACAACGGACCCCACGCCGACTTAGCCTCAATTACCTAGCCTGATTTGCATTCTTCCGATGCCCGGTTCTCCGGCTGCAGATCAAGGTATCTCTGCCGTTCTTTCCCGCTCTCTCTCCAAAACTTACTTCTTCAACATCATCTGCTCGCAGAAAGTAACACCGGCGCTACACGATCTCTCGCATCCCACCATAGCCTCAGGGCTTAAGAGTGATAAGGTCCTCTTCCAATACAGCTACGAGGTAACGACGCAGCTTAGCCTAGGCCCGGCACTTCCCAAGTGTATGCTGCATCGTATCCTTATCACTAAGACAATAGTGGCACTCAGTTGTCGGCTCCGTTCCGGCAATATGGCTCAGGTACCAAAGCACCCACACCCAGAAAGCATCTGAACCAATCGGAAGGTAAATGACCTATGCTGTCCGTTTACCCAGTCTGAAAGAACTGGGAAAACAGCCTCAACAGTCTTGCTTCTTACCCTACAATGGGCTAGGCGCTACATCAATTTATCCAACATGGACTGCCGAGCACGGAATCTCTGCGTGAGGGATTATCACATTGGAGCCAGAACTCCTAGCGCCATTGGTACTTTTATGCAAGAATCTCCTCCTCCAAATCCTAGACGGGATCCTTAAGTGACTATAACTAACCTAATTTCTAATGTATTTAGTACAGAAATAAAACAATGGTAATATGATTGAAGCCGGTTACAGGAGATCTCATCAACTGTAAAATCATTCATCATGCTGGGTATTGCTTGGGACCCTATAATCAATAAAATTAAAACTAAACCTAAGCATACCACTGCAAGACCTTAGGACATAGTTCATTTTGCATAGATCGGACCATAAACAATAATTTTTAAAGCTGAAGGTACTCCGGGTTTAACAATGACATCGGGAGTCACCTCAATACCCCATAACCATGGGTGCTGGAAAGCACCCAAAACGTCGGGAATTAAAAATAATTAAAATTAAATTAAACGCGTTAAAATCCGTAAAAGTAGTTTTAATCAATGTGAGTTCATTTGCCAAGTCAAATTTATATAAAAACTGAATAGTAAAATAACGGACTGTACGATGGCATTGTAAGAGTATTAGCCCATATCGTCCCGTGTGTGTCGTAGGAGGCGTCGTAGGGAAACTGAAACAGAAGACGGGCAGCAGCGTCTTCATGATAGTAAAATAATTGCGGTTGCCAGCCCGCCTCCCAAGCGCCAATATCAATATCAGCCTTATGAAGCAAATCTCTGGAAGAGGCCTATGTCCAATAGTGGTCTTTTTTAGGCTGTAATGAATGAATGGTAAATAATCTGGGGCGTTTTACCTTGAGCTTGCCCTGCCGTGAGGTGTGCGTCGGCGCAGTGTGTGCGGAGTGCGCAGAGTGCGCGGCGTTGGCGGGGGGCGGGCGCTCCGCCAGCTGCGCAACCTGGTGCAGCACGCCCTCGCGTCGGAACTGCACCGCCATCTCCTCAGGCAGCCGCTGCATCAGGATCTCGCCCAGCTGCAGCGACCCTACAACGATGCGCAGGTCGCTCGACGCCATCATTCCCGCAATGTGCGACGATATCACCTGCGCAACACGATGCCAATGTGTACTTCATGAAGTAACGATTATGGTATTGAATTCATCATTCCATAATGTCCAATAGGTTCCATAAATAATAAATAAATAAGACTGACTTTAATTTAGTATATTTACCGTAGTCAAGTATAACTATATGAAGATACTGCTTGTAGATAGCAACTTTCTTGCTCTATTGAGAGCTTCATAATTGCTTTTAAAAATCTACAATATTAATTTGAATATTTTAGGATTGATACATTTTAGATGATTACTCTACCATTTTACTAATACCATATGGTTCCTCTGGTTTTTCTCTTAATAATATATTTCCTTTGCTGTGATCTATTCTTTATTAAAAGCCATTTAAATCAAATTCTGTCAATGACTTATTGATACTGGCCTTTCAATTATTCTAGAATATCACTTATAGTCACAACCAAATCTAAGAAATACCTTTTGAAGTTTCACATTAATCATTCCGCAATAACTTTGCACAAGCTTACTCACAGGATTTAAAATAACCTTTTACGTAAATCCGAAGAATTTTGAAGTTATCTATATTTCATTACAACGTGTATAGTTTTTATCACTAATTTAAATTGGAATTTTTCAAACAAAGCAAAATATTAAAAAATAACCAGTATTAACTTTTTTACTTGACGTCGTTTCAATCACATGTCGCTATGTATATTACCGTAGTGTTTGGATGATTAAAATTAATTGTTATGCGAATAATCAGCAAAATAATTAAATAATCGGTAAAAATATTCTAATAATCGAATCATTAATTTCTTAAATGTATTATTTGTTTAATTTAATTTTTATTTTCAAAATTCCTTAAATTACATGAATCATGAATAAAATAAGTTTATTTTTTCACTTAGTCAAAGTAAATTTTTGTAGGCAAATAACTCATATACAAGGCCGCGCTAAAATAACTACTACATAATTTCAAAATTTGATGCCAGTTCCTCGACTCCACAGAATCAGTAATTTATTTTTGAGGCGATGAATACACTTAAAAAAAATGCCAGAAAATATACAAAATTTGTCATAAGTTCACATAGTTCAAACACTTTATTAAAAACTAAGTTTGTATAAAAAGGGTGTTTTAATATTAAGGAATTTATAGATGATAATAACCTCTGGGAAGGTAATCGCTACCAAGCTATTTCTAGTTTGTTTTGTGTTAATTGTAACACGCATGATTGTAAGCTCTTATTAAAAAAAAAACTAGTCCCGTTGGGTTTCTTGCTGGTTCTTCCCAGGATAGAGGTATTTTTTGCGAACCAGTGGTAAATGAAAAAAGTGATTTTCAATATGTATTATTCATAATCTATATTGAATAAAAAAGTTTCTGCTTCTGTTTCGAGAGCTTACTGTGCGTAATTTTGTGACTTTGTGTTTGTCTTCTTATTTTGTGACTCGGCTTTAACTTTTTGGACTGTTTCTTCTATAATAACTTTTTGGACGTGGTAGAGCCACGCTACATCTATATTATAGTTGTAGCATGAATGGGTCGGTTCAACCAGGGCAGGACCACGCTCTCACAGAATACCAGCGTAAAATAGCAGCGTACAGCTGATGTGTTTCATATGGTGAGTGTAGAGAACCGGAGACCCTTTTTACTGGAATCGAGGCATTCCATCTTAATCCTAAGGAGTGACAACGCATTTGTATTTTGATTCTTAATTAAGGATATATGTGTATGTCTATGGGCCATAGCATCCACTTACCATCAGTTGGACTGTGTGCTAGTTTGTCACCCAATGCTATAAAAAATTCGTTGAAGCATGTGCCCATGTCACAAAGGATGATTGAGCAAAAGTGGTAGAAAAAACAAAAAAATTGATTATGGATAACTTTGAAAGAGACATTAATTTTGACTGCATTATTGAAAATCAAATAATAATAATTAATATAAACAACGACATCCCTACTAGTTGTACTGAAAGTGATTGAATAAATTTATTTTCAATCTAGTTTCAATCTTAAATTTTTATAACTGTGCCTCTAGAAATAACCAGTTATAACAAATACGAAGAAACGGATAAATCTTGTGTTTTAAATTTATTCTGGTATTATTCAAACCAAACTGTAAATGATTACCTACCATCTCTAAATAATCGATATCGATTTTTTTTAAGTATCGATTATTTTACGTTCCCATTTTTTGGTTGGCATGCTTGGTGCAATAAGTCTGACAGCTGTCAAAATGTATTTCTTAGATTTGGTTGACTATAGTATATTTTAATGAATTTCTCTGAAACCGATAGAACAATGAATTTTCTTATCGCCTACTGATATCTACTGATTCAGATAAGAGATATAAGGGTACAATTGGTGGGGTTAAAAGTACCGGTATTGTTCTGTATAAACTTTGTTGCAGATGTACAAATTTTCCTGGGCTAACCATTGAAGAGTACTGTTAGCGTTTAGAACATTAGTGAAAAGTGAGTCAGTATGAAGTAGGTGGGGTGCGGCAGTGGCACGTACCTGCATCTTGAGCACCTGGCGCAGCAGTGGCGCGTCCGCGTAGTACACGCAGCGCAGGATGGCCTTGAGCGCCTGCGAGCGCACGGCCGGGCCCGCCGAGCTCCAGTACACCTCGTGCAGCACGGCCAGCAGCGCGCGCACCAGCGACGGGCTGCAGCGCACCAGCGCTATGCGCGGGTCTGCGCAGTGCACACACACACATTACTCACCGCATGTGACACCTACACCCGGTACTTCACCCATGAATCCATTCATTGCAGTCTATCAAAAGTCCACAGCGGACCTTTCCCATAGATTGCATGATAGGCATTAGCCATAGCTACTACGCTTAGCAAGCGGTTTAACAATCCTTGCTTTTGATTATTTTACTTCTGCCCAACTACTATTTCATTTCTCTCAGTCGTCTTTTAACACTTTGACAGCCGATCACGACTCTGGGTCGTGACGCTTAGTTTTGCTGCGTGTTCCGATCACGACCCCAGCGCTTCATCGAAATTCCTTGAATTTATTTTAAAAATTCAAAGAAATAACGGGGTCGGCGTTTGTTGCATTGTATAGCTACATTGGGTGCGTTTGGCAGAAAAAAGCGCTAGCAAGCGCTTGTAAACAAAATGGCGATCGTAAGCGGTAAGTGCTGTCAAAGCGTAAGTAGCTATTTTCCTCTAGGACACGATGTTAGTTTTAACCGGGGAACCTAACCTAATTTAAATATATGTTTGTGAAGTATTCATATTAAAAACTTACCAATCATGAATTTTTAATAACATGTATATGTTTATTCATGTCATTATATTACTTAAAACTAATATTGCACAAAAGAACTTATAAACTACTTCAAAACAAACAAATTAAATAAGCAAAATGGCGGATTGTGTCAGCGCTACTGAAGTAGCAATCGTGTCCTGGCCGAAAACTATTTTAGCTCTTGTAAGCGCTTGCTAGCGCTTTTTTCTGCCAAACGCACCCATTGTTTAGTTACACACACATAGGATTCATTTACGTAAGGAGGTTCGGAGGAGTGCAAGGGGAGAGATTGCGAGGAAAGTCACACGAGTCTGCAAGGTTTGCGCGGACACTATAAAAAACAGATAGACAAATGGGGAAGGAAGGAAACTTCGTTTTACTGTTCAGAATGTAATGTTCCACTCTGTCACTATCCTTGCTTTGAAAAGTATCATACTAAGAAAGATTTCACAGCGTAGGACTAAAGAAAAGCACGTAATCGCGGACTTATATTTATGTAAGTTTTTTTTTGTAGAAAATAGGTATTAATGTTTTGATTTTCTAAACAAAATAAAGTTACTATACTTTGTTTTATTTTTTATTGTAAAAATAAATTAGTTATTCTAGAATATACAAAAAGAATTAAATGTATTACTTTTTTAGTTCTTTTTATATAAAACTTACAAATATGCCGTAAATGGCCGGCGTACATGGGAATGCGCGTTACAAAATTTTTGGCTGTCAAAGAGTTAAGACACCTGGTGGGTGTAATCCACAATCACTTGCTATAAACGATATAAAGTTTGCTATGGTGTGATATATACTTGACATGATATTAGAATTATTTGTAAACGACTGTTTGCTGTGAATGCTTGAAATGAACTGCTCGCCGAGTACTGGCACGTTAAAGTGCTGTGTTGTAAAGGACGCTAAGTTAAAAAAATTAAATAAATACAAGTCATTGTGAAATATGTATGTTTCACCTTACAACACCCAAGAGTTGATATTGGATTTCCATACGCTTCCACTAAACGGCATTACATGACTGCGCAAGGGAATATTTAAAAAAAAAAACTAAATGTTCAACTACAGTATGCAAGCTACCTCCATGTAAATAACCATTAAAACGGTTGAGCAATTTAACTATCAAAGATTAAAAACATTCAAGACAAGAAAATGATAAGAAACATTAAATTTAAATGGAATATAAGGGGAAGTTGCTTTTCTTCAAATAGGCTTTTTCCAGTGCAACTAAAATCAACAGCAAAAAAAGCAGTAGCATGTTTCACAAATGTATTAAGCAGTACTTACTCACAAGCAAATTTTTATACGACACTCTGGTCTATTGAAATATTGAATGGATTTTTAAAATACTTTATATTAATCGAGATAAAAATATATATAATTTAATTGCCAGGAAAAAAACTTTGAGTTTTTTTCTCCGGGCAATTAAATTATATTCTACTATTACTACTTTGTTCGAGAGCGTTTTTCTAAAATAGTTTTTGATAATTTGACCACATAATTATTTAGATCCTTCATTTCATGTTGTATGAACATGTATTGAATGTTGCACGATTATTTCGTGATGGACAAATATGTAGCTAAAAGCCTATAAACTTGGGAAATCCTAGTCTTAGCACAAACCTTATAAAAGCTTACTTACAGGGGTAAAGAGGAGTATCAGTAACGATATTATTGTTACAAGTTGTTGTTGTTGCTGTTACGATTCCCAATTAAGACAGGCAAAGGCCTTACATCGTACAGCCTTATCTAATATTTTATTCGCTAAATTATTCACAATATGCTGATGTGTTATACTACGAAGTTTTTGGGAGATTTTGATAACGATAGTGTCACAAGTTGATTGATCGAATAAAGTTTCAGTTTCATAGTTTCCACTAATATTAAGTATTAAAATATCTACGCATGTGACCACGCGTAAACATTTAATGCATTACAAAAATCTACTTCAAATATTAAATATACGCAAATACAGCAACAATCCGCTGGCGGTCAAGTTACCGCCAAAAACTGTTTTGTTTGTAACTAGTATGTTTTTTTTTTATAAAACAAGGCGACTGACCTTGCGTGACGGCAGCGGCGGCGGCTGCGGGCCCGGGCTGCGCGTGCGCGTCGGCGGCGGGCGCGGGAGCCACGCGCTGCACGGGGCGCGCGGTGCCCGTGTGGTCGTTGAGCTGCTGCATGGCCGTCAGGTCCACGGTGTACGAGCGGCCCAGCGTCGCCAGGCACACCTCCTCCTCGCCGCCCGCCGCACCCGCCTCCAGCGCTCGGCTCTCTGCCCACGAGTACGACCGCCATACGCCTGATCAATCGCCACTTCAAATTATCTAATTCTTTAAATCATGCGGTTTTCGATTCCTCAAACATGATGCCTCGTTTTATAAATTTGCATAAAATTTTATTTAGTTAAATAATAATCAAATAATTATCAGAGTTCGATCCCCGCAATCACTTTTAAACCTAACGTCGTAATTTTAGGTGGTATTTTCTGCGAGAAATAGACCTCTAAAGCTAACTCACGTATTAATTTTGGGTTAAGTACAAAAAGATGACTTGAAACCATTTTATAAATACGCCGACCGAATTTCGGGGCGAAAAACAGAGTTACAGCGTATAGTGTGTGCACAAGCAAGGACGTAAAAAAAATAAACATAAAAGGCATCATAAATAAACATTGCTATAAAATAAATGTAAATATATAAATTAAATACTAAAATAAAAAGATGAGTAAAAACAACAAAAAGCATAGACAATGTATTACCTCTATCATCGCGCCACTGCCAGTGTGCGGAGCGGTCGGAGGCGGCGGCCCAGGGCCGATCAAGGTGCGCGTCCACCGCGAAAATGCCGTCCGTCGGCAGCCGCGGCATCAGCTCGCCGATCAGACACGTGATCTCATACAACTCTTGCGGCAGCCGCGGGATCAGCTCCACTTGCTAAAGTTAAAACATCGATTGTTGTTTAAAACAGTTTAGCTAGGTTAGCCAAATTAATTTTTTACAACTTTTAACACTAATAGAAAGCTATAAAAAATGACAAATAAACTTAAAATCATATAACATTGACATATAATGTCACTTCCGTAAATGTTCACAGCTTTATAGTGTTAAGGTCTCCCACTCACCACAACGGCAGTAAACATACTATAATGGCAATTCCAGTTTATTTGTAAATCATTTTGTCTAATAAATATTTCTTAATTTACATAATATCAGGCAGATTATGTGTATGATAATGCCCACTCAGATGGAGCTTATTTTATTATAATAGGATAAGTTTAGGAGTGTTATTGTGTGAAGCTAATATACAGTTTCAAGTTGTTTGATTGGGTGCCATGCATGGAGCATACCTTCTGATTATTCTCATTGTGAATTTGTAATCAGTGAATATCATCATCAGAAAATACTTAAATATTTCAATTATTTTTATATTATTATTGTAACAATGTTTTATACTTTATAGTATTATAAATAAATGACTGATGACTGAACTGGATGACAGACCTTTGATTGTCGTCGTTCTTTATGACTCTTAAAGTTAATACAACACGTAAAGTGTTTACCATGTCCAATACAGCATATAAAACATCAACATCATCATTACCAGCCTCCTCAAATCCACTGTTAAACATAGGCGTTGTATTAGCAAGTGCAGTGTTACCCCCACTAGATGGAGTAAATATGTAGAGCCGATCGATGCAAGTGGCTCAGGACCGTTGTTTGTTGCTAATTGTAGGGGAGCATAAACAAAGAAAAGCCACTTTGCTTGTGGCATCGGAGACCTCCTGGTGCAGCGTGGAGCCGGTGAGCAGGCAGAGCAGCGTGTCGGCGATGGAGCGCTGGTGCAGCGCGAGCGCCAGCTGCGGGCACGCGGCGCACATCACCCAAAGCAGCCGCAGCACCGTGATGAACGTGCCGCCCGAGATCAGAGCCGGCTGCACCACCAGCTGCACACAAACAACCTCATTTATTTTGCTACTCTCAAGCCACGCTTATCCAACACTTATGCAGGCAGTTGCATAAAGTTTTCGTGCATTTATTCATTACAACCCATCAATTTTTTTTCTATTAATATTACATTATCATCAGGAAGAAGCTTCTACCCACCTCCTGCTTCAGTTTCCCTTTTTTTTTTAAAGTTCCCTGTGTCAGTTTCCCTGTATCGGCTTTTACGGCATCCATTAGTTGACATGATGTAGGGGATTCTCTTACGCCGCCACAATACGGTATGAAGTTTTAATGGGCGTAAATACAATCACTTAAGTTTGTTAAGAATATATCAATTCATCCACATGCCTTTGATATTGCAACCCAATGCAGATGATGTTCATCTGCATCACAAGTTTACGATTGAGCAGAACTCAGGCGAGAATTTTAATTAATATTACATTAGAGTGATAAATGAGCATGTAATTCAAGTGATAGTAAACAGCTACTTCAGTCTATGTTAGTATTTTAAAGCAAACTTCGAAAAAACGGTTTCATGCTGTAATGTTTAGGTGTATGGAAATCCCTTCTATTACCTAATTCCTTCCAGCGGGTTTCGTAAGAGGTGGCCATGGAAAATGGTCAAAAATTATAGCTTCTTAATTATAGTTTTTGCTAGATCTGAAATACTCAGAACAGTGACATGCAGCCATCGTCAAAAGTTGCAAAACGCTTGGATCTGCGATCATTAATCCACCTTTTTTTTTTACGATAACCATATATCATCCCATGCAGACTAAAATAGAATGTCTCTTCAGTGTTCTTATATCACTTCTTTGTTAAACCATTCAAGAAGTAGATTAGTGTACTTACAAGTTGCTGCAAGTTGGTAAGTAATTCTGGCGTAGCAATTTCTTGAAGTCGAGCAGGGTCATGTTGGAAGCTGTCTACTAAACGAGAGAATGCCAGACACACACATTCCACCGATTTCTTATCCTGTTGAGTTAATCTAAAACAAGGCACCAAACTTAATTATAAAACATTTTATTTATTTTCCATGTACTTCTGAAAAAATAGTTAAAATATATTTTTGGCTGTATTCAATTATATTTATAATTTTTTAATAGCTTTTAGTAGTTTGAAGATAAAAAATAATAAACAATTTGTTATTATATTTAATTAGATTTTTTTACAATTCTAAATGGTGAAGTATTTCATATAAGCACAATTATAAAACATTTTATTTATTTTCCATGTACTTCTGAAATAAATAGTTAAAATATATTTTTGGCTGTATTCAATTATATTTATAATTTTTTAATTGCTTTTAGTAGTTTGAAAATAAAAAAATAATAAACAATTTGTTATTATATTTAATTAGATTTTTTTACAATTCTAAATGGTGAAGTATTTCATATAAGTACAATATATGTACAAATATGGAAGGCATATTAGTTATTTACAAACTTTATATAGTTAAAGAGGGAAACCTCTATATGAACATATTTGTACCATATGATCTAAATACCAAAAAATCGCTAAGTTTAGTAAAGTTGTAAAAAATAATCATCGCTAAATTACAATTAAAATACTTGCAATGTTTTCTTAATAGTTATGAAATTATAAATACCTGTTAGCAAGCAGTTGCAAGGAGTCTCTAACAAGATGAAATTCATCTGGTGTAAGATTCTGGCAGCAGTTTGCTGTGATAGACAACGCAGCTCGTTGTGCATTAATAGAGAAGAAGTCCAGGTAGGTGAGGCACGCAGATACACCGCGCTGTAAAAAATAAACAAAGTTACAAAAACATAGTGCTAAGTCGGCATATTAGAACAACTGTTACTTATTTTAATTTACAAACAAAAATGAAAAAAACATGGAGCTGTATATTAAAAGTAGAAGAAATTAATCACTTACTGCTTGTAATATAGCTTTCGAGTGGCGTCGTGACAGCATATCCAGTGCAGTAAGACTCTGTTCAGCAACATCCATACAAGTAATAGCCTGGAGTTTATCAAGGAACGCAGGTACCGCCAGCGCCACGGCTCCGCTGCTGCGCGGCAGTGCTTCGAGCATGTATGTCAGGGCACGGCAAGCATGGTTCATCTGTGCAAAATGTTGTTATTAATATACACTCAAACCTGGATAAGCGAGAGTTCAAGGGAGCAATGCAGGTACATGGGTAGCGTTTCTCTCTTATAGAGGTACGCAGCAAAAACAAGTCACAGCAAGTACGAATGTAGTAAATATTTAATATGATAAAATTAGGTGAATAATATGCACAACATATATTATGTACATATATATATTTTTAATAGTGTGTATATGTTACGTTCATTAGATTTCGACATATAAGTACTTTATAAGGGTAGGTATCAAGATTCTTACAAAAACAAAACAAAAATTCATGCACTATGTAATTTTATTTTATTTAGCAATTCAAACGCATTCACTACTTTAAGTTTATCACTTAATGACAGTACTTTAATTTTCCGTTTTGACATGATGCAGAACAGAACTTTCCTTCGCAATTGATTAACTATAAACTGAGTAAGTCCAACAAACAGGACGGTACACAGGCACACGTGTCCATTCGAAAAGAATACGATGAAATAACAACGTTATTTAGTTCCACGAAATAGAATAGGTACAATATTGACGAGAAAACAATACAAAAACAATGGTAGGAAGTTCCACGAAAGTTAAGAATGAGTCATAAAATAGCAGATGTTAAATTTGTAATTTGTTTTGTCATTTGTTACTGTTTGTGTGTATGTTTTGCGTATGTATGCATTTTTATTGTAGCTATAGTTCCTCCTGAATAATATAAATAAATAAAGCTCGACTGTCGCTTATAGATGTATAGATAAATAGCAGTCTCACTTACGGAGGTCCATGAGGGAAAAACGACTCTCTCTTACAGAGGTTTCTGTTTTTCGCTAATAGAGGTTTTGGGAGCTTAAAATGACGGGACTATTACTCTCACTTATAGAGTTTTCTCACTTATCCAGTTCTCACTCACCCATGTTTGACTGTATATAATATAGAGTATGGTGATTATGAGTAGGCTTGCCATACTCAATAATAATAAATAGATTTTATAGGTGTTTTAATAGGGAACATACCATATCAAAGTTGTGTTCCGCGGCGAGAAGGTTTACGAGCGCAGGTACGACTTGTCGCACAGGGAAACCGGCCAGAGTGTCCTCATTACCCATCACCAGCAACTGGCACATTTCTATTACTGCTTGCAGCTGTTGGCCTTCATCTCCAGTAGCTTGTAAGCCAGCTAGCAATTGCGCTGCTTTGGATGCGGCTAGAAAAAAAGTAAGCTTGGTAATTTACAAATAATCAAGGAACATCAACAATATCAAAATGTCATTATGCAGTACTAGCTATTTCAAATCAAAATATTTTTTGTTTAGCTAAGAATGGTAAGTTCAAGTTTATTTTATTTTAAAAACATGGATTTTTTTATAATCAGTCATTTGTTTATTGATTAGCACTATGCTTTCATCGCATTTGAATTTTTTTCGTCATCATGGATCCGTTAAAAATTCGAGGAATTATGGAATAAGAGTACCGTGCGTTCAAAGTTACAAGAGCTGGGGTTGGAAGCTTTCAGTCATCCACCGTACTCACCAGACCTTGCACCTACAGACTTCGACTTAGACCAGAGTTTGAATAACTTTTTGGCGGGAATATAATTCAATACACGAGAGGCTACAAAATGTCTTTGAAGAATTTTTTGCCTCCCGTCCAGCTGATTACTTCAAGATGGGCATCAATAAACTGCCACTGCATTGACAAAAATGCATTGATTGCATGGGAGATTACTTTGTTTAATAGCAAAAAAAAATGTAGAGAAAAATTACATTTTTCATAAAAGCAGTAATTTCATAAGTAAAGAACCTAATATAAAGTCGTATGTTAGTGATAATGTTTTGTAATTATTTTAAGTTTCTCTAAGCAATACAATCAAGGTTTAAATAATCATAGATAAATGAACAGTTTACTGATGAAATGAGAATCATCATATTTGGATATCAAATACCAAATTTAGACTTGATTGTGACCTGAATATCTGCAGCATCTCATGTATAATGTTTCCAGTTGGCAATTTGGAGTATTCTTGATTTAACTCACCTTAGCTTTCCATAATAAAATAAATGATAAGATTGACAGGATAAAGTTTACATTATGTAGCTATCGCCTGCTTGTCCCCCCCCCCCCCCCGCACTCTTAATAATTATTTATAACACCACAAACTATGATAACATTTGAACTGGATTTTTAGATGAACATACAATATACAAAATTAAAACAATAAAATATACTAAAAAATAGCAATAAAATATATCGATAAAACTTTACGTAAACAGTCTGTCTACCACTAATCGCAGGTGATGGTAATCGCAGGCAATGCTGTGTAAGGGACCGGAGGTTTTATAATATGGTGCAGTTGTAGCACAAATGGGTTGGCTTGACCAGGAAAGCACAACACTCTCATAAGACACTAGCGTAAAATAGCAGCTTAATACAGCTGAGCTATGGTAAAGGCTAAAGGAACTGGAGACCCTTTTTACTGGATACGAGGCATTTTATTTCAGTCCTTAGGAGTGACAATACATCTGTATTTCAATTCTTAATCAAAGATATATGTAGATTTGCCATTGCATCCAATTTACATGAGGTGGACTGTGTGTTGTTTTGTTACCTTTATACCATCACAATGAAGTAATATGTACTTACGTACTAGAACAGCTATCTCAAACAAAAAATGTGCGCTACTCTGTGTTCGCGCGGTTGGTTTTTTTATCATAGAATAAACATAGGTAGAACGACCCGTAGTTAATAGTAGATTGTATTGTTAAATAGGTAAATTATATCGAGAACAATATTTAAATTTTGTCATTTATTTTGTATATTATATTTGCTTATTTAATATCATATTACATAATATTATATCACAATTACATTTTAATGATATTTTTATCTGTATATTTAAAAAAGGTATCTATGTCAAATATAAAAAAAAACATACTAAATATATGTTTAACAAAACTTATTAACGTAGCATTTAAATTACAAATATTTTTATTTAAATTAGAATAAGAGTCGTTCATAAATGCTGGATACGCGATAGTTAAAAATGGACGAATTTATTCCATTTTGACTTTGATGTGGAAACCTAAAAATAAAATAAAAGAATAATAATCAGATTTAAATATGAAAAATTTAGCCTAAAAATTAAATATGAAAACAAAAATGTGTATAATAATATATTCGTCCTATACTTAAGTACCTACAGAAATGTCGCATCTGAACATATTAATTTCATAATCTAAATTCCATGACACGAGAATGCGTCTTAGGAATAATTTGTTTTATTATTAATTTATAATACTTTTTTATTGGTTAAGTATCTTATTAACCGATGAAAAGTAATTCCTTGATTTTTACTGACATTTCTTGAATTATTTGTGCAAATATCTAAGTACACACGACGGCATATTTTTATCAAGAGATTTTTTTTAAATCAACACAACACGTGACAACTCTACAAGCGCCTAGCGAGTGACTGATTAAAGTGCGGTGTATGCACCGCAGTTGAATGGAACAGAGTAGCTGAATGCAGTGTCGCCTCTAGTACGTAGTACATAATAGCTCAATGATTCTATAAAAAAAACCATTGAGATTTGAGCGAATGTTGGGCTGTAGTTGGCCCTGCGTACCGGAGTTGGCGGTGACGGTGCGGTGCAGCAGGTGCTGCATGCGCGGGCCGAGCGCGCCCAGTAGGTGCGGCGGAAGGCCGCGCGCCTCCAGCAGCGCCTGCAGCCGCCCCACTTCGCCCTCCTCCGACGACGACTCCTCGCCACCCGCGCTGCCCGCCGCGCTCGCCCCCACCCCGCCGACACCGCTCGCACCACCCACACCGCCGCTGTGGCAATCCTCGGCCGACGACGACGCTGCAAAATTAATTAATTTCTTTATTTTATAGTTACATTAGTATTTTCTCCTGTAGTGTGGAGGCATTTTATATACGTTTTGTATACACAAACTGCACGAAAACAAATATAGACTACCAAAACTGCTGTACAAAGGATGAACAGCTACTTGAATTAAGAGGCCAGTGTCCCTTTAAAATGTATATTCCCAATAAACCCTATAAGTATGGTATACCATACAAATAATTGTTCCAGTATTTTTATAAAAATACCAGTTATTTGTAAGCAATACGAGCACTTATTCTTATTCACAACTATTTTTACCCTTTGTTCCATAAGGCCTAGCTTAAACATTGATAGAAAGTGACAATAAATATACCAATCATCATAATAACCATTAACATTACAGCCTTTCATAAGTCCACTGCTGAACCTAGGACCCCACTATGGAATGCCACTTAATACGGTCCTGGGCCTATTCCATCCACCAACTAAGCAGGTAATACCAGGTCGTCCTCCATCTAGTGGGGGCCGGCTCTAAACCAAACCATTACCTCAGCTTACTTATCACTTGGGATATGTTGGTTACTCTCTTTCTATTGCAGTTATCTTCGTTACGAAGTTTATCATGCAGAGAAACCCTGAGCGTAATCCTCTCCATAGCTTAAGCTTCCTCATATGGTCATTAGTGAACAATCATGTCTCAGATCCATATGTCATTACTGGCAACACACTGGTTGTAGACTCTGGTTTTCAAGTCTTGAGGTGAAGTGAATAATATGTGACAAAATGTATTGTAAACTCCCAAAAGTAGCCCAGCCAAGTTGGATGAGTCAATTTACCTCTTGGTTGACGTTTTTTTTTTACGTAAGCCTTTAATCAGCCTATTGAAATTCAATGGTGAACATGGACCTATCTTATTGTAGAGAGGATTTGCCTTAATCGCTATCGCCATCGCCATACTTGGCAGGCGGATTACTGATCGCAGTACCAGATGTCTCGCACTTTTGACACTGCTGCCCCATCTCCGGTTAAAGTATTCTACATCTGGCGATATTATGGTATATCATCATCTATCGGAAGGCTTAAGAATTTTTGGCATTATGAAATTACCCCCCTCCCAGAGGGGATTACTAGTATGTTAAAAAATCTAAAACAAGGATGTTTAAATAACACTTTTATTAAAATTGAATATTAACCTGTAATTTTTAAATACAACCATTATATATATTTTATTAAATTTTAAAATAGTACATTCTTCACTTTTTAATTTTGCCAAACTGTTAGTTTGTCAGCAATCTCTAAAATATTCGTCAAATTATAATTTGTACCTATAAAGTGGTTACCTTTGCCTTTCGGCTTCACATCGCTGGATGCACTGTCAGGCATCGTAACGGCTGAAGCTGACACCGGCGGGGAAGAAGAGGTAGATGCAATGGCACCCTGCACAAAGGTAAACAGTGTTACACACCAGTCGCTTCGAAAGAAAACTTGTTTATGCATTAATAAGATTACTAACCGTGGTGAGCGGCTGAGGGTGGGACCGGCTGGACGCGCCACCAGTGCTGGCACACGAACCCAGGCTGCTTTTGCCTGAAAATAATTGAAGACATTAAGCTTTTTAACATAAAAGTAACAATACTACTGTGTCTTGGGAGTTATTTTTGTATATACTAATTGGTCTTTGTGTCCTAATTTATGATAATTACACTTTAATGGTGTCGTTAAGGTCATTGCTATGTGCTTTCATAAAACTCGTTTATCATAATGATTTTAATGATAGTAGATAAGCTTTTTTCTATTAAAGTCTGATCAATTTTGTTATTACTAAATACATATTTATAGCACTCTATGACATGATCCCTTTTTAGCACAACCTTTAAAATAATAATTTTGGACATTAAAATATTATAAAGCCAGAAAAATAAAAAAAGCCATCACTCGATTGCCGATGGTAGTAATAGAAGGAACCTCATATGCATAACTTAATAATGAGGCATCCTGAAAGGCAACTTCATGTAGGCTTGTGACACAGACATTCTAACAGTTACAAAATGCCCATTCCATATCTCGGTTCAGCAACAGAACCATAATAATAATATATGAGTTTCTTATTATTATCTGTCTTTCGTAAAGCTTCATTCACATTCAGCCCATTCCTGAGACAGTGAGCAGAGAGTAACTATAAAAGTTGGCAGCATGAGTATGTAAATGGGTAATGCCACTGCCTTCAAATTGAGGGTTTATGCTTAATAGTAGAAGTCAAAGATAGGGAAGTCTACCGCAAGAGAGTATTTATATACTGCTCTCTCGCTCGCGCTCAGCGGCTATACCCGTAAAGTGAAAAGAGTGTGAGAGAAAAGTGAGTGAAATATAAGCGTCAGTATGAAGTCAACCAGTCGAGTTGGCAAGTTAACCATGTTATTAGACAGTATCCCTTATGTGTAATGTGTCGTCAATAGAATGCTTACCTCGCTTGTCTCGTCGCGTTGAGGCCGGCTGCGGCTGCGGCATGTCGCGAGCTCGCGCCCGCCGCCCGCCTGCCGCGCTGCTTCCCGCCTCCTCGCTGCCCGCCACCTACACAACATGCATACTATTGTAGACAATTTTCTTATTTTTTTCTAAATAAAACCGAAGTGACGAACTTTCCAGTTCAGCTGATGTCGACATTTTCTTTTCATTCGATCTATCTCGGTCTAATATATTATGATAATTTAGAGCTGCGTCGACATATTTAGTGATTCTACTTAGATTGAGCATAATGAAATAAATATAAAATAATAGTTCAAATGCTTTTAAAGGACTTTTTTCAATAATTACAGCCCATTGTAAGTCTACTGCTAAACAAAGGCTGCCCTTGTAAATTGCCTAATATTCCATTCAATTTCCATTTGCTATTCAATCTATCATCATCATAATCATTACAGCTCTTCACAAGTCCACTGCTGAACATGGCCTTCCGTAAGTAATGCTACAAAACAAAGTGCTGAGTAACCTGCATCCATCTTCTGCATGTCTTACCAGGTTATCACTCCATCTAGTGGGAGGCCGCCCACACTTTGCCTATCCATACGAGGCTGCCACTCTATAACCTTTCTTCCCCATTATTAGTCAGTACTTCAAGCTATATTGCTGGCCCATTGCCACCTCAGCTTACTAATCTGTTGGGCTGTGTCAACTACTCTGGTTCTACTGCAGATATCCTCATTTCTATGTTTATGATGCAGAGAAACCACGAGCACAGCCTAGTCCATAGCTCGCTGAGTGACCTTGTACTTCCTCATACAACCAGTAGTGAAGGACCAATTAAATATACTAATAACATTCAATTTATAATTATGAGTGTATGCAATAAGATTCCTCATTTGTCTTTTAATATGTAAATAAGCAAACCTGTCTTTTAGAAGCAGTATCGTGCCTTTGACGTTGCGAAGTGCTGGCACCTCTCGTCAAGCAAGCACCCAGGGTCGCACCCGTCGCAGCAGCGATACTCTGCAAATCACCAATAATCACATGGTCAATATAAGTAAAAGATTATAGATCCTATGCCATAATTTTACACTTCCTTACCCTACGAGCGTTAGTTTGTCTCAAGTAAGGCAGGTCACGTGGCACAATAAGGAGCTTGCTCTCACTACTCGACGCTTTTGATGAACTGGCCTCTGAAAAACAAAAAAATGTACATGATACATCCAAATTTATTTATATTGATTATTTACAATTAACTAATAGCTTGCCTTGTAAATCCTTGTAAGGTGGTGGAGTAACGGTCCTTCCACGAATTTCTGATGAACTCTTCCTTTCGATCACTGTTTGATTTTCAACCACCTCACTGGTAGAAGTGTTCACTGTGGAAACATAGTTGTGTTAGTAGTTACAATAAACACATTTAAATTATCCACTATGAGTGTCTGGCACTTGATATTTATGATAATATTATAGATAAACTTTACAGTGAGACTAACATGTGGGAATATAACAAACCATTATTTTGAAGTAATTATAACAGAAATTATCATATTATCTGTTGACACACATTCATTCCATGTGGCATAACAAAATACGACAACAGTTTTCAACCTAATCCAGTAAGGTGTTAGGTCTCTTGTTAGTTACAGCTTATACACAAACCCCACAACAGGACACAGACCTCTTCTCATTTCTGAGCAGGTTTTAGGGCAAGAAAGTGTCCGCCGTACTGCCCCAATGCGTGTCCACATGTCTTTGAAATATATTTTTTTTTCTTATTTCCCAGACATGCCGGTTTCCTCACGATGTTTTCCTTCACCGCCGAGCACGTGATAAATCAGTACTTAATCAATTAATCAGCACTGAAATTAACAATTTGAACAACCCAACCCGGGTTCGATCCCCGACAGCACTAATACGCTTGTGTACTGTGAAATTTACAGCGAACGCTAACAATCTGAGTTACCACGGTTCTCCTACGCAACAAGGTCTTCTGCCCTGCCTAGAATTTAGTAGGCGCTCGCACTGTTGGATCCGGTCTGGAGAGTATGGAGAGCCAGTATAATTACAAACTGTGAGACATTCCATCATAGTCCTCAGAGGTGACAATGAATCTATGACCTTGGTTCAAAGTTGACCGCAGCCACTTACAATCAGGTGGTCTGTATGTTCGTTTGTCATGTCAGGTTAAAAAAACACAAAAAGGGAAATGCAATTTTTCTACACATATTAAGTGCAATTATCATAATAACGTTTGGTAGATTACCTGAATTATCGCTTATAACTGTTGAGGATGGTGGTCCGAGTTCACGATAATGTCTATTACGTAGCAAATAAGTACACGAAGAATGGGATGCAGACGCTGACTCCGGTCTTTCTGAGTCGTATTCTGGGCGGCTGTCCGAAAAAGCGTCTTCGCTTGTTTCGTCGACCTCTTTATATGGATCTATTTTAAACTTCTTTTTACAATCTTCGAGATCTAGTAAAAAATTACTTTTCCTACTAGATAGTGAGCGATGTGAAGGTCGCTTCCTCTTTTTGCCTTTCCTACGGTTAGCAGTGGGGCTGTATACTGAATAGTCGGAATCGAGCAATTCGGTTATAGTCGAGGAGCTAAACGGCGAATAGGCAAAGTCCCTCTCGTCTAACGGCAGCAATCCACCTTCGGTCTGATTTAACTGGAACTCCTGAATCGAAGTGGCTGTAGCGTTCTGGTTGAAGGATAAACGTGATAATGTTTGTGGTTTTAAATTGTTTGGTAACTGCTCACAAACACTCTCAGTGGATTTAAGAGCAGTCCGTGAACGTGTGCAATATGCGACGCACTCTTCTGTAGTGCTACTGGTGGACGTTGAATGATGTTTTTGTTTTTTTCGGTCATACGACGAGTTCCGACCGCGTTTTGAGTTAGTACTACTTGAGTATTTCCAGGAGTCTCCACTCTTATAGTCGGTATCGTAGCGGGTTTCGTAGAAATCCGCTCCGTAAGACCAGCGTTCAGAAATAGAGTAATCGGACCTGGGCAAAGTATTCACTAAACGTGAGCTTCTCCTAAGTTCAACTTGCTTGCGTGGCTCGGTTTCAGTGTCGCGGTTCAAGTGTCGGTTGACAGATCGCGGCAGAGGCGACGTCACGTTACGTCTATTTCGGCGACTGCGACTCGCTTGACGCACCTGACGCAACCACCGACCGCCCACCACCCTGCTAGGAGAAGACCTGCCGCCAAATAATATCCCACTTTAGTTAAAAATCTAGTCAGTTTATATAGTCAGTATAATACATACTAATGAAAAAATGAGTTGTTTAATCACTTATAGTTTATCACCACCAGGCTGTATATAATATAGACGGATTGGGAGATGTCGATCTAGCATATTAAAGATGTTTCTTTAGAAACATGTGTAGATCAGAACAAAAGACTGTGTAGTGAATAAGTTATGCCACCATCAAATTATGAAATGTCAATGACTGATATGAAACAAATTGTTCCCAATATGCAGGCAGTGTTTGTAAATTATAGAGCCTTGTTTTGAGTTAAATTAGTAACTATTAGTTATTATGTGTTAAGTTTGTTTAGAGAGCGAGTGAACATCTATCTGCAATATGGGTTATTCTGGGGAATTAACTTTTTGATTGTAGTTCCACCTTTCCACCACAAGTACAATTCAATGGAAAATATAGTCATACTTTAACATATTATTGATTAACTTTTAATAACCACAAACTTAAACAAAAATCATATTACGTGTTGCATTTTAACCAAATTAAACTTCCTTGTTTTAAATAATAATAAGTAATTTATCAATTCTGCAATATGTCAAGGAAATAACCAACACTAGTAGACATAATTGTATATCTGCATAAATTTGTCTCTTTTAATGTACATTTGCAACCGTTTTCTAAATCTCTTTGTTACAATAGATGTGTTAGCAAAATACTGGGAGTTTTTTTTTTTGGAAGCAATTCAAAAAAACATTGCTAAATTTGGATGTTTGTCTTTAATTTTATTTAAAATAGTTTTAGCCCAAGATTTATTTGAATTGTAGTTCTGTGAGGCACTATTAATGAATTCCAAACAGTTTGTATAATACTATGAAAATTTTAAAAAGCAATGTATGTATATTATCATCATTAATCAAAAAAGATTTTACAAACAGCTATCATGTTTCTATAACACTGATAGCTGTTTGTAAAATCTTTTTTGACTGTACACAGACGAGGGAGAAAATCGGAAGAAAAATAATATACGAATTCCGATTATCCACCCCATCTGGGGTGGATAAATGGATGGATACGTGTTTCCAGGTATCTACTCTAGGGCGGATTTCTTGGGGTAGATAAACTGAATAACCCTGCAATAGCATAGTACAGTAAACGATATGTTGGTCTGGGACTTGTTTATGTGGGGTTTATATCAAAATATAATGTGCTAATTGTGTTACTTGCCAAGCATGTCGTAAAAGACGACTAACGGTATAGTTACCACTATATGTTAATTCATTCGAAAATAACCACCTATGTAACTTTGTATCACAAAGCTAAGTAAGCAATTCTACGGAAACGGAAACTAGTCGAATACTCTGTGTGACTTTCATAAAACTTGACGCTGGCAGAATCCATAGTAAGTTGCTAAACCAGGAAAAAAAAAGGTATAGTGGGTTTGTTATGATGTAGGCAGTGGGCCAGCCACCTATCACTTCTTTCACTACTTCCTTCGCTGCTCTTCGGACTCTGCTTACTTCCTCTGTTATTACAAGTGTGAAGCTATGTATGTAACTGACAGTTTAAATTTAAGTGTTAATATAAGTTGACATTAACTTATGACACAGTTCCACAATCTAAAAATATGATTAAGTTTTTTTTAAGAATCATAAGAATTTTTTTAAAGAAGGGCGACATACAAACAAGCACACAGTCTATCTGATGGGAAGTGAATGCTGTGGCTCTTAGATACTTATATCAATCGTCGATTACACTGGTTAACAAAATTTTTACTTTTTTGTTGCAACCTATATTAAATTTTGAATGTACTAGGGCCACCAAATAATATGGAATGAAAAAAATTGTCACATCAGGTTTCCTTGAGAGATCATACATATATTTTCGTAAAAAGTACAAACATCAGCTACATTTAGAGAAATTATTATTGCTTAATATAGAATAAACTTAACATAGAATAAACTGACAATCGATGGAAAAAAAAGGTTCTCGAGTGGCAGCCTCGTAAAGGTAGGCGTAGTGTAGGGCGACCCCCCAATAGATGGAGTGACGACCTGGTATGACATGCAGGAAGTCGATTGATGAAGATGGCTCTGGACCGTGCTTTGTGGCATTCCTTGGGAGAGGCCTATATTCAGTAGTGGATTTGTGAAGGGCTGTAATGATGATGATGTTGATAGAATAAATACTTATGACTCGTGAATATTTGATTTCTGGAAGGTCTTTGTTAAGTCTCCAACAATAATCCGCTAGCATTCCATGAATTTATTGCCCTTGATAGCACTTCTCCATTAAAGAAATGTCCTGATGGAACCTCTCGCCTTGTTTGTCACTCACAGCACTCAAATTTTCCAGAAAGAAATCCAGATGAGAATGTATTTTTAAGGACATATTACACTCCAAAGCTTTATATGACGTTATAAGCACATTTATTAAGTCTTTGAAATTTTCTGATTTATGGTTTCCTAGAAAATTCGCAAATGAAACAGTAAAATTTTGTGTAACCTTTGTGTGTGCAATGATTTTAAAATTTCCAAGCGTATTTACTGTATTCAATTTTTTCAAGAACAAATCTCATATTGTTCTTTCATATCAGAACCATGAGCAACCGGCACTGAAGAAAGTTTATATCTGTTATGCAGTAACACTGCTATCAAACTAGTTTTTGAGGAGTCAACAAACAATCACTAGTGATTTGGATCATATTCAAAATTTAATAAATTCATCAAAACAGGAACATTACTTTTTTTTTCCTGGGGGAATCTTGGGATTCCGTTCTTATCGTTTTTTACAGATTCTAATCACATACTAAACTGTTTATATCACTTTATGTCAATAAGTGCCCTTCATTTGAAGTTGACGATTCATAACTTGGGGGTGTTTGGATTTGGTTGTAATGCTTTTTGTTTGAGTCAAACGAAAATAAAAATTACATGATATTTTGGTTCAGTCCAAATCATTGGTATAGCAAATGGCATATGTCTGAGTTCTTGTCTAGCCCAACCTAATAGCAGTCTCACACATGTTACACAACATTTATGTGGAACCCAGGATTTATCTTGATTCCTCACAGGAAATCCAAAATAGTCTAAATAGCACTGTTCAATTAATGATGTGAAATTTTGATGCTGTGATGTAAAAGTTAATTCTCCACACACATAACAAAGACTTTTGGGGTTGCTACAATACTTTCATGACATGTTTACGATGTAACAAACATATATAAGATGTAAGTTAGTTGAATGTAATAGCTATACAGTCGTCTAAATGAAGTTATTCAAAAACGACATGTATATGAGGTCAGAAATGAATATGTAGCTCTCACAAAAAAACTGCGATTGAAACAAAATTTGTTATATATTGTTAATGAGGGTACACCAACATGAGCAAAAATCACCACATAGTTTGTGTAACAAAAATAGTGTTTACCGGTGGTATCAAACAAAATGCAAGTGCATTGTCACTAATAATGCCTAATTACCAGCAGTGTCTCTCTGTATTTTGTCACTCACCATACAAAACATAGCAGCATTATTCTGCTAATTTACTCTGGTTTTCTGTGCGAGTGTGGTCCTTGTGCGAGTGTGGTCCTACCCAAACAAAAAACCAAAACAACTTTCCTACGATGCTACCACAAAAAAGTGGAGCATGTAATACACGTTGGAATTAGGAACAGTAAGTAGGATTACACTGTGCAGGTTATCACTATATTTTCTATTAGCGATCCGCCCCAGCTTTGCATGGCTGATTTTTGGATCTTGGCATGCATATGTTATGCATGTATTATATTATACATATAAACCTTCCTCTTGAATCATTCGAGTCAAAATCTGTTGCAATCTAAGTGTACAGATGATTAGAAGCGACTTTGTTTTATACTATGTAGATTGTTAATGCTATAATTAATTATAATTTCAATTGAAACCATCACATATCAAGAATAACTGTGAAATTATCACTTAGTATAATAGAGCAATATTAAAATATGGTTTTATAAAAAAATCTTTAATTAATTTGCCCATAAAATCACACCTTACCTGGCCATTTTATGGGCAGTTTGTTTTTCTACAAATCGAAAATTTATTTGAATTTAGAATTTCAACTCCATATTTTATATGGATTCTTAAATTCAAATAAATTATAGTATTACCATAGCTATTATTACCAGTTGAAAGTACCTGGTTCGATAAAACAACAATTGCCTATGTAAAGATCTAATAGTAAACACTAATTTTCAGATTTTTAATATTTTTAGTGGCATTCTTTAAAAGTCATTGTAGAAGCGAGCTCGTCGCGACCCCTGCCAGCCCTTTTCAGGGCTGCAATTCTACACAGCTGCGCACTCATGCAAACGAGGGTTAGGGCGTCCCCCCAAGGCGACGCGTACCAGCTCGTCCCCGTTGGTGTGGAATGCAGCGCGCAAAGCGGCGATGGGGACCGCCCCACCCGTCACGCACAGCCCGACACGGCGGAAGGTGGGGGACGGAGTGCAGAGTTGGCACGTGGAATGTTAGAGGGTAGATGGTTGATCGAAATAATGAAAGAAAGAGAATTAGATGTCGTGTGTATGTCGGAGACCAAACGGAAAGGCAGTGGTACTGAAGAGCTCCCTGGCGGGACGTTAGCTATATGGTCCGGAGTCCCGGAAAGCGAGAACGCCTGCCAGGGAGTGGGAGTGCTGTTGTCGTCCCGGTTGGTCGATCTTATGACTGAATACAAGGTTGTGAACTCAAGACTTCACTGGGTTCGCTTCAAAATGGGACTGACGAAGTTATTCCTTTTGGCTGTTTATGCGCCGGTAGCTTCGTCGTCCAGGGCTGAGCTGGAGGAGTTTTGGGAGAATGTAAGAGAAGTTCTAGATTTGGTTAAGGGAAACGAAAGAACTGTTGTATGTGGTGATTTGAATGGATGGGTAGGTATCGCTCGACCAGGATACGAGTCGGTGCTTGGAAAGTTTGGCGATAAAAGGGTTAATGATGCTGGCAAGCTTATACTGG